TTTTTGAATCAACTTATAGTACTACTTAGTATACAGATCAATTAAGCTAAATTTACTATTATAATATGTCACTACCATGCCCGTTGGAACACTGTTTTTCCTATAATTTATCGAGTGAAAGGGAACGGAAATTATTGAGTTCATAGCACGCCTCATCGGGACGTTAATGTAAACGTTAATTGCAAAAGATTAATAACAATTTTATGATGAACTTCATCTAATTGACTACTTATGAAAGTTTTGTTTATTTTTGATTGATTATATAACCATTTTTGAAATATAAACATAAACACTCACGCCTGTCACCCAGAGGGGTAGACAGAGACTACACACTTCCACTTGACACTAAAAGACACAACTCCCTCGCCTCCTCCACATAATAACCATACATGCTCGTCGATTAGGGGTACTCCTGAGTTGATTTTTGAAATATATATTTCTGATTTATATATTTTTGATTATACATATTTTTATACAATTTAAAACTCCAACAGTCGATTTGTGATGCATTAACATACAATTTTATGTGGTTAAGCCATACTGCAGCTATATTATGGTTGCAGCATGAATGGGTCGGCCTGACCGGGGTAGGAGCAGGCTCTCACAAAATACTGTGATTCGTATGGTGAGGGTAGAGAAGCAGAGACCCTTTTGTAAAACGAGGCATTCCATCTTAGTCCTCAGAGCTGGCAACGCATCTGCATTTTGATTTTTAGTTGAAGATAAATGTATATAGTCTATGGGCCAGAGCATCATCCCCTTACCATCAGGTGGACTATGTGCTCGTTTGTCACCCTTATTATAGACAAAAATACATGCAACATATTCGAAATGTAAAATTTCCTTACGTGTTTTACGCCCGGGGCCCCGGTTATTGCCCCCCCCTCCTATTTTAAATATTACTTTAAGGTTTAAATACTTTATAATGGACATCGTACAACACGCAGATGTGAATAACGATCCGGAGCAAGTCTTATACGGCACTATACCGATAATATATCGGACATAAGTCTGTCTTTCTTTGTCTGATCTGTCTGTCTTGTCTTTTCTATGTAGGACCTCTTTTCTAGTTGCCTCGTTAGTATAGTGGTCATATGAGGCCCCGGATTCGAATCCCAGATCAGGCCAAACTTATTTATTGGGTTTTTCACTTTTCACTCCGTGCCTCGGAAACTCGGAAAGCACGTAAAGCCGTTGGTCTTGTACTAAATCTCTCTCCGATTGTGTCGGATTACCGTCGCATCGGACTATAAGAGGGAGTGAGTGCTCCTGACTTCCGCATACACTCGGGCACTATAAATCTATCCTGCGCATAGACATTGAGACTGGCCCCCGTGACCGAAATTCGGAATAATAATATTATCAATTATGAAAAGAAAAGTGGACTAATGATTAATTATCTTTTAGTTTATTTCGAAATATGACAGCTATTTGAATTTCACGACATCGGCCAGTATGATTTCTGTACCTTCACATTGTTTTTTAAACACGTAATGTAATGATTATGAAATAAAAATAGTACCACAAGCGCTCCATATATAGCGATAAGTTTTCTTATGGAATGAAAAAAAAAATAGCTTCGAAAAATAGGATCGGAACCACATAAACGTATACGCAACGTTGGATTGAATCTCTTAAAATCATTTAAAATCAATTTTTATTCGATTTAGATACTAATATACATTTAATATACATTTAACTATATATTAATAATAATGATAATGTCTTTCAATAAGAATTAATACATTTAATTCTTATTGAAAGACATTTTTTACCTTTTTTACATTTTACCATCGGTTCGGAAAAGACTTCTGTACTGGAAAGAATGAGCTAGACACCCAGCTAGATTTTTTTTAATAAAATTAATTCACAATATGTTTTATACAAGTAGAAATCAATTTATCATCTAGAAACAGCTTTAGCAGCGATCGCCTAATTTCTAGAGGTTTATTATCAATCATTCACTCTTTACTAATATAATAACTTATTAATAACAACATTTAAATTTTTTCATAGATATGACCTGCAAATTTTCTGGGACTTTAATGTTGAATCGTATACTCGTACATTGCCCCATGGAGGAATTACTGACTTTTTGGAATCGAGTATCTTGAGCTTGTTCCTAGTATTTACAGAATGTATATCACTATTTTATATAAAAGTATTTTTATTTTTGTGAATACATACATTACATTTTTGTAAATATACTGAGTGGTGAAAGTTAATACATTTTTTTTAAATTTTACTCAAATAATAATATAAATAATATAAATTGCTTTTCTGTAAAACAAAAATAGTTTCAATGTCAGTCGCATTACCCCGTAGCTAGATTCCATGTGACATTATGCTATGAAAATAACTAAAATAAACTAATCTAGCTATTTCAACACATATAAGCTCTCTAATCTTTCTAGAGCATATTCTGCAAAACGAAGTTTGCTCATCATCATCATCATCATCACAGCCCTTCACAAGTCCACTGCTGAACATAGGCCTCCCCCAAGTAATGCCACAAAGCACGGTCCTGAGCCACCTGCATCCATCGACTTCCTGCATATCTTACCAGGTCGTCACTCCATCTAGTGGGGGGTCGCCCTACACTACGCCTACCGGTACGAGGCTGCCACTCGAGAACCTTTCTTCCCCATCGGTTATCGGTTCTTCGAGCTATATGGCCGGCCCATTGCCACTTCAGCTTACTAATCCGTTGGGCTATGTCGGTCAATCTGGTTTTACTGCGGATATCCTCATTTCTGAGTCTATCACGCAGAGAAACTCCGAGCATAGCCCTCTCCATAGCTCGCTGAGCGACCTTGAGCGTCCTCATACGGCCAGCAGTGAAGGACCACGTCTCTGATCCGTAAGTCATCACTGGCAACACGCACTGGTTGTACACTTTAGTTTTCAGAGATTGAGGTATACCTGACGAGAAGATATGTCGTAATTTCCCGAACGCTGCCCAGCCGAGTTGAATCCGTCGATTGACCTCTCGGTCGAAGTTGGACTTACCTAGTCGGACTATTTGTCCCAGGTAAACGTACTCGTCAACAACTTCGAGCATAGTGCTCCCAACAACTACCGGCATAGGTGTGACATGGACATTAAACATTATCTTTGTTTTGTCCATGTTCATCTTAAGACCTATCCGTTGGGAGGCACTATTGAGGTCATTGAGCATAGTGCTTAAGTCCTCCAGCGATTCTGCCATAAGGACTATATCGTCGGCAAATCGAAGGTGAGTGATGTACTCGCCATTGATGTTAATACCGTATCCTTTCCAGTCCAGTAGCTTGAAAACGTCTTCCAAAGCAGCGGTGAAGAGTTTCGGGGATATAACGTCACCCTGTCTTACACCTCTCTGCAGTTGGATAGGTTTCGAGCTCTGGTTCTGTACTCGGATAGCCATCGTAGCCCTACTGTACAAACACTTCAGCACTTCAATATACCGACAGTCAACTTGGCACCGCTGAAGGGACTGCAGCACCGCCCAAATTTCGACGGAATCAAAGGCTTTTTCATAGTCCACATACGCCAGGCAAAGTGGCAAATTGTACTCTTCAGTCTTCTGTACAATCTGCCGCAGGGTATGTATGTGGTCTATGGTACTGAAGCCTTTTCGGAAACCGGCTTGTTCGGGAGGCTGGAAGTCGTCGAGTCTGCGTGCGAGACGATTCGTAATGACTCTCGAAAACAGCACGTAGACGCGGCTCAGAAGGGAAATCGGTCTGTAGTTCTTCAAGAGAGCGTTGTCGCCTTTCTTAAAGAACAAGACCACCGCACTTCTGCTCCACGCCTCTGGAGTAGTGCCACCATGGAGGACGGAATTGAAGAGCTTCTGAAGGACTTCAAGTACCGGTGTTCCACCCGCTTTCAGAAGCTCCGCTGTAATTCCATCCTCGCCTGGGGCCCTGCCGTTTTTAAGGTGCTGGAGAGCCATTCTAATCTCGCTTAGACTGACGTCCGGGATATCATCGGAATAGTGTCGGATAAGACTTGCTCTTGGATCGTTACTCACACTTGCGTGTGGCTCCAACGATGATGTGTACAGCTGCCCATAGAACCTCTCAATCTCACTCAAAATCTCAGGTGTCCCGGAAACGATGCTGCCACACTCAGTCTTCAGCCTTGACAGTTGGCTCTTTCTGGCAGACAGATCTCTGGCAAAGACTTTGGAGCCCTGGTTCCGCTCGATCGCTTCTTTAATACGAGCAGTATTAAAGTTGCGTAAGTCTCGCCGCATGCATTTGGAGATCTGTCTGTTCAGTTGCCTGTATGCTGTCAAATCTGTTGACGATTGCAGCCTCATCTCCCGTCTAACAGCCATGAGATTAAGAGTGTGATCGGAGAGTTTTTGTGGTCTTCTGCGGCGGGTCTTGCAGAACTTAGCTCCGACCGCATGGACAGTTTCCACGAGCTTGTCATTCATATCGTCCACTGCATTGCAATCTTGTAGGCACTGAAAGCGGTTGTGGAACTCGAGCTGAAAGTTTTCGGGATTTTGGATCAGAGCACGAGGGGGGACGCACGTTTGCTAGCTAGTTTTAAATATGTGAGGGCTCCACTGAAGCTTCCCGTCAACTGTAACTGCGACAAGTCTCGGTATCAATATGGTAAGCAATGTAACGCACCGTCAACGCCACCCTTAGGGTCAGTTTACACCGAGACGGGACGTGACACGACGATGCTTGAAAAGGCCAGTGGTGTCACACGGTGTAACTTGACGTCGCGGGGCGCATCGTTAAGTCGCTGGCAGCGCTCCGCTCTTGCAGGCTGCGCCTAAGGCCTACTGTCCATAGCGGCGTAGCTTCGTAGACGCGAATTCGTCATTATACGCTTGGTGTACGCCTGCTTGCAGCTTACATGCAAAACTATGTAACTCTGTCGACGGAGCGGCAACGTCGCGCTCGCGTCGCTGCATGCAGGCTTCATGGCGCCTACCGTACCGCATGTCATACGCCCGAGCGTACATCGAGTGAGCGCACGTGTTTATTTTCGTAAAAATGGCGTCAGCGGCCACGAAATTTGTTCAGATAGTAGAAAAATATCCATGTTTATACAACAATAATTTAGCTGAATATTCTAGAAAATATTTAACTGAAAAGGCTTGGAGTGAGGTGGCGAATGAAATGCAATGGACGAGTGAGTGTCGACTTTATTTATTTTGTACTTAAATACTTAACATTTATTCAATTATACAATTATTCCACTACCATGGCAGAGCAACATTAGGCTGTAAAAAGTAATTTGCTAAATAATTACGTAAACCGTTTGGTGTACTTAGAAATGTCATGTCGTCATGTCGGTATCAAAATTGGTGCACGATGAATATTGGAACTACTTGAATAGTTTGCAGTGGTTGTGTATTGAACACCATCATATCTCCGTATGTAATTATGCAAAATACATGCGCACTGTACTATTGAAATTATTTTTGAGTATTTACGGTACGATATAGCTTTCAGTAGTACTTGAAATTTTTGTGACAACATTCCAAAACACATTCAATACTTTTGCGTCCGCGACTTAAGGGAATATAGTAAGTCAGCTCAAATTCTAATTTCGCCCCCACTTCCCCGCGCGTCGTATGCTATGTACCGATGTGTTTGTAATCACTAATACTGTAAGTAAATAGGTTGTTAGACACTTATTTCATTATGTTTATCATATTTATGCCTGTTTCTTAACGCCAACCCAGTCGCTTCTTATTTTTATCACGGTTATTTCCTATTTTAATTTTACGTCGTCCTATTGCGTAATGTGTATTCTGATAGTAAGCGACACAACTTCTCCCTCCAAAAGCCTAAGCGATACTAACGGGGCGACAGGAATCAAGCTTCAAGACGCCGATAGTTTAGGTAATTTCTTTTTACAGTGAAAATAATGGTATTTTAAAAAAGTAAATAACATAAGCACTGCTTTATAGTTAGTTCAGTTAGTATGCAAAGTTTCATGATCTTATTTAAAGTATTTTATAAATAAAATACTTTAAATAAGATCATGAAACCGCTGTTTATTGTTCAGTTTGGAGGTAACTTTGGATTTTTTTCTATCGAGAAAATTTTACGGAATCGTGTTTTCGTCTAACATAGTCCTTAACATTAATCCTCAACTTTACCATATATTTATTTCAAAATTAATGCTGCAATACTTTCAGCATAACGGAGGATCTTGCTAAGCCATTTGAGGTTATATTTCCCCTTAACCTATAACTGTAAATTCTTTTCACATTATCCAGATTTCTAACTGAATATGGTCTCAATAAATTTTTCCTCAGAGGGAATGCATTATCTCACACAAAGTAGTAAGTAAAACGATTTCCAGTGGCATCATTTGGCAATGGTGTTAATTCAGTTGGGATGCTTAAACCTTCCCTTTCCAACCAGTGCCCAAGCGCTGATACATGGAACATGCCCCCGTCACTGTTCCGTCCCGCAAATCCACATTCAATGCTCGTAAAGTATCCATCTGCATCACAGCATCCAAGCAAAATAATAGAATGATACCCCTTATAATTGTAGTTGTCTGAACCTGTATTAGGGAATTTCTGTATCCTGATGTGCTTACCGTCAATAGAACCCAAGCCATTGGGTAGATTCCAAAGTTCATAATACTTTTTCGCAATTTCTTTCCATTCATCAGTAGTTGGTACAGGCATGTACGTATCCTTCAATGCATTCCATATTATTTTAGTCGTTTCTGATATTACGCGTGACATTGTACATTCTCCTCGGGCAAAGTAAAGTCCTAATGCTCGAAACGAACAGCTTGTAGCTAAATACCTGAAAATAAATTATATTTTGTTTATTTTATTATCAGTTTATTATGCACAAAATACAGCAGAGCTATTTTGTCGGTTATCAATAAAAGCGATGGTCACTACATCTAGATTACGTACTACGGATTGTCAAAACGTCGTCTTGGTACTGGTTATCGTCGGTTACCAACTAGAATGATGAAACGTAACATCTAAACATTTCATAGTCCGTAATTTAAGTGTAGTGAGTATCGTTTTTGTTTTTGATTGAGTTTAATAGCCCTGCAAACGTCAATCTTTTAAATATATATTTGTGAATAGAAAATCCTCAAGTTAGTACCTAAGTATTTAGATGTAATGAAAATCTGTTTGTTTCAGTAAACGATTGTAAGGAAAAATGGAAAAATATTAGAAACGGTTTTGTTCGAAGTTTAAAACCGAAGGCTAGTGAATCTGCTACCACCAGAAAAAAATACTATTTGCACGATAAGATGCAATTTATATTACCATACGTAAAACCAGTCGTTCACATTGAAGAAAATGGATATTTACTAAATCCTGAATTATCGCCTCTCAATCAGGAACCTGCGTCCACCGAAGAGCGGGACGTTGATTCTAACAGGAATATTACGGAAGAAACTAATTCAGAAACTCTTTCCCATGTTGAAAAGCCGTCGTCGTCGTTCCAAAAACAAAAAAAAACTAATTAAACCTGTTAGTAACGAAGCTTAAAATGGCTTTTGTGGACTGGCTAAAAAGCAAAAAACCTAATGAAGATGATCCACGAAAAATGTTCCTTCTGAGCTTGCTACCCGACATACAAAGTCTTTCAGATGAACAAATGAGCGCCTTTGGAATAAAAGTGTTGATTCTTCTAGAAGAAATTAAAAAAAACCAATGTCTTCAGTAATCCAGTCACAGCTGCACCAATATAGAGACTATTCTCCGATTTCCTCCGTTAATTCCCATATTCCACTGGTGCCACCCACACCTTCTCCAATAAATTATTCCACCGACTCACAAGTTTTCTCTGGGTATTCACAACCACAAGCTTTAACACTGACTCCTATTAATTATTCCCAAAATATTAACGATTTTGAAGATTTTGCAATAGAATAAACATGATATACATGTCCATTTTTCAACTGTGATTTTGCATGATAATTAAATAAAAAATATTTTAATTAAAATTGTTTTCCTTACCGCAATGTTATTAATATCCTTTCATCTGGGCTGACACATTCTCGCATATTGGTGTTTTGTTTTTGTAACAGAGGGGCTAAGATTTGCAGTAAATTCTGATAAGTAGTTTTACTCATTCTATAGAACAAGTGAAATACACTATCATCTTCTAATAATTCTCTTGCCGCAACAAACAATCTGATTTTTTTCCATATATGGATGCACCCAATATAATCGACGTCTTCGGCGTCGAATGTAGTAATAAGCCAAAAATAACGACTTCTTCGTTCTACGACATTCTCACAAATGATTGTAAACGTACGCTAGCTATACGCCTCCTGGACAGAGTTGAGTACGCTGGGCTGCACAAGCTGCACGACGTATTTTGAAGCGTCTATGAAGCTATGTCTCCGTGGACAGTAACGTTAACGAAGCACGGCTGCGTCGTGATGCGTCGCGCTACGCCGCGAGGAATCACGTATATTTGTTATTATTTATATATTGTTGTATATTTTTGTATAGCAAATAAAACCATATTTTATATCGAAATAGAAAGTCATAAAAGTGCGACACGAAATCGAAATCGGACTATTTGATTCATACAGTAGTAATTTTTCATTTTTAATATCTCATTATATGTCATGTGTTATCATATGAATAACTTATCTGAATTATGGAATTTAATCAGCCATTAATTTATTTTCGTTATTGCAAAAACAATTTTTTATTGCTGCATAGCTGCGTATCCATCATTGGGTATAATTCAAAATGTTTAATACAAGTTTCGGTTTTCGGATTATGAGCACTACGCCAACGTATTAAAGTTTCATTTTCACTTACTACATAGATGTAATCAGTCGCACATATTATATTAGTGTTCTCCTAAAATAGATTGCTCCGTTCACGTCGGCCCCGGGTTAATAAATAAGTAGGTGCTATCGATTGTAATTTACTTTATTGCAAATATTCGTTAAGCTTTTATATTTACAGTTAGATACGGATCAAATGCGGTATTAATGAAATATTAAAATGGCGGATCCAAATCTATTTTTCTGAATCTATTATTATCTTCAACTGTGGCTTTCGAATTTAATCTTATTACGAGTATAGGGGTAAAAGTTTGGCGAAAGTTATATCCAGTTGTATCATTGAATTCAATTAAATATTTTTTTGAGATGAGAAAATTTAAGTGCTTATGTTTACAAGGCAAGGTTGAGTGAATTCTATGTATAAATTACTTATGTAATTTATATTTATTATATTTTATATTTGCTTAATTACATTGACATAGAGCTATTCTATAAAGTTACTTGTAGACCATAGTTTCCCCGAAGCATTTTCGAATTATCGCAATAAAATGTGTATATTTTTGTATAGTAAATAAAATCATATTGTGTATCGAAATATAAAGTCATAAAAGTGCACCGCTGTAAAGTTTGCGGCAATTACTCGGCTACCAGAACCTCATTTGTTATTTATTAACTATGCACTGCAGACAGGCGAGGCTTATTCGAATGTGTCATGGGACCCTCCCATAGTAGAAAGTAATTACGAGTATATATTCACCAAATTTACTCAAACCAGTGCCACGGTTCTGAAGCATTGGAGCCTAATTAATCTATGAATCTAAAGGCAAATTCGACAACTACTTGTGTACCACACTTGTTCAGGATCAAACGAGAGAAAAATTTATTTATCTACTCCTTACTGCATTTCCTTATAATAAAACAAAGAGCATTCTTCACGCATTTGGACATTATCTGCCAGACAAGTCCACCCTTTTAGTGGTAAATATTTGAAGCCATTTGGTAAAATAAATAACTTGAAATTGTATTAGATGATAATACAAATGATGTTTGTATTTGCATATCTAATTATATATGACAAGAAAAAATGTCTATGTGATGTCTTTGTCTATTGACATTATAAGAACTAATCTCTAGCCTTCTAGCCTTGATAAAATTCATTAGAGGAAATGTAATCTAAAATAAAATCCATATATCGATAATAATTACAACTGCAATATCCACTAACTGCTGTCACCAATATCTGACGACAGTCGTCAAAAATTCGTAAGATTCATTCAAAAAAGTTACAACGTCTAGCCTCTATACGTAGCCTTTGACACTGGCCTTATCTTATTTGTAAAAAAGGTTTTGAGTGTTGAAGTGTCAGCCACACTGTCTGAGGCCTCATTCGCATGTCTCAAAAAATTTCTAATTATATTTTTTGTTTCTTTGACTACAATGCCGAGCATGCGATAAATTAACATTTATAATTCCAATTAACAATTTTATTGGCGCAAGTTAGGCTTGAGAAATGAAGAGGGGTTGAAAATTACATTGTCAGTATTACTACCGTAATAATACTAAATGTCAAAATTTTGTTATAATGGTCCTCGAGTGGCTGCTTCGGAAGAAGCGATTGGTAATATCTTTAGTCCTCTCACGCTGTTTCTGTTTCATAAAGTCAGCCACTGTCTCTATCTATTATCTATATTATATACGATATATTATATACGATATCTACTACTATATATTATACAAGATTGTAATATCATATTTGACGGCTCCGTAGCGCAGTGGATTAGCAATGAGTTACAGCGCTGAAGGCTGAATTGTTCCAGGTCTCGATATTTTTCCTTGTGAAATTTGTGTATGTAAACTACCCCCACGATACAGGAAAAATCCTAGTGTGGAGGAAACGTTTTGTAATAAAAAAGAAAAGAAAGAAAGAATAATAATATATAGAAATAGAAGAATAATAGAATAATAATAAATAAGAGAAAAGCAAAAAGAATAACATTTTTAGAAAAAGGAATTAATTTAAAATATAGGGGACCGAATAAAATTGTCGCATCTTTATGGTTAAATTCATTTGGTCTTGAGAAATCAAGAGTCCTCAAAATTGATGACCCCCGAACTTTTAACATATTATGTAAAATACTTGTGCTTACTTGTATAGGCGTTTTTTTTTTAATTTTATGTTGGCTAAATCAATGATCACTATAAAATTTTGTAATTTTCAAATCCATTTTTTAACGTTAGTTGAGGATGAATGTATTGTTTTCAGTTTATGTTCAGGTTTTACCGAGTAAGTTTAGAGCAGCTGCGAGCGAGCGACATGTTTTTGTTTTGCTACAACCTGACGTACTCGTACCTATTGCTTTTGAAACGGGTCGAGGATAAAGCGTACATGGATACTAAATTTATCGCAAGTAGAACCAATTTTATGCACCCGTTTCTGGAAAATAGACATGTGTTTACTTTGCACTAAATGTAAAACTGTAACCTGTTTGATTGTGTAGTACTGGTGAGTTGCATAAAACTGATTAATTAATTATACATATAGCGCAGAAGTTGGAAGATCCTATATAAGAAAATTTTACGCTTTAAAATCAGGTCCATTATTTCTCATCATAATTTTTACAGGTAGCTACACAACCAACAGTTTGTAAAGCAGGAGTAAAATTACCTATCAGTCACTCTAGTTCTACTGCGAATATCCCCATTTATAAGTTTATATGAGAAACCCGAAGCATAGTCCTACACATAGCTCGCTGAGCAACCTTAAGCTTCCCCATATGACTTGCAGTAATGGACCAGGTCTCAGACTCGTTAGTTATTATTATTTTTGGGGTATCTGTATAGTTTTCTCATCTGGTTGGTTTCTAAAAATATATAATTATAAATTAAAATGAAAAGATAAATATACATAAATACCAATAAAATAAAATAAATACAAAAAATAAACTAATAAATTAAGATCCAACCAGATGGAAGCCCTCGGCAGGGAAACCAAAAAGCCGAGGGTTAAAGGGAAAGGGAAAGAAACCGACGGACGATGCGGGCGGTATCGAGGAGCACATCCTTCTACATTTGAGCACGGAGCGGTCCGTCACGGAGTCCCAGTCGCCTCAAATGACCCGAGAGGCTGACTGGGATTAGGCCATTCGCAGAGACGACTACAGGAATAATTTTGTTCGGCCGACCACCCCACATGTCGGTCACCTCGTGAGCCAGGTCCAGATATTTTGTTCCCTTATCTGTTTCGGCTTTCACGAGGTTCTCGTTATACGGAATGGTAATGTCGACCAAAAATATCATTGACTGTGCCCGGTCCATCAGCACAATATCAGGCTTATTCGCAAGAATAGTCCTGTCTGTGATGATGGCCCGGTCCCAGTAGAGCCTGGCGCGGTCATTTTAGAGCACGGCTTCCAGCAAGTACTTGTAATACGGCAATTTCCACGAGACCTTATTTCAGAGCGAGCTCCTGGTGTAGAATTCTGGCTACTAGGTTGTGCCTGTGCAAGTACTCAGAGTTAAAAAGCGCCGAACAACCGGAGATGACATGCCTAAGTGACTCCCCGGGATGGCGACAAGCTCGACAGACTTCGACGGTGCCATCCTTTAGGATGTATCTCCGATAGTTGTTGGTCTTAATAACCTGATCCTGTATTGCACAGACAAAACCCTCGGTTTCCCCGAAGAGGTCACCGAAACGTAGCAAGTTGAGGGAGGCGACC